CAATCTCAAATCTCAGTCTGATTTCTCCAATTTAATACGTTTAAAGCCCAGTTTGACTCAACTGATTTGCTCGGTTGCAGGGCGCAACGAGCGGCGTCTGTCGGTTGGAGGGCGAAGGCTGTGCGAACAGCCGCTCGTGCTGCAGCGGCCTACACTGCAACAACGGCGACAAGGGCAACCGCATGGGATTTTGCCTGAAAAGCCACACCACTGCCAAAGCGACCAACGTCCCCCATCATCCGGCGCAGAAAGCCACCACCAAGCGGGCGCCAGCGGCTGCCCATAACGGTAACGCCGCGGAACGGAGAATTCTTTTTTGTAGCAAAAGCCAATAGTAAATTTTCAAGATTTTTCTTCACAACGTTGATGAGCGATTTGTGCGTAATTGTGCGCAAACGCTGTACCTGACTGTAGCAAGTTAACGTACCGTTTCTTCCCGGTCTGTTTACCCAGGTTACTGTACTAATCGCGTTGGCCGTTCTGAAAGTCGTTTTATGTAAAAAAAAACGTGCTTTGTTTGCAGCGAATCAGCATCCGCTGCCCGCGAATAACGGCGGGCCATCCTACATGCAGGTAACGTTCAATATCTCCACTGACCAGGCCAACCACAACTACTTCGCCCCCATCGCCAGTGCCCTGCAGAAGGAAGGCGCGAGCGGAGTACGGGTCGTCTCCAGTGCTATGGGACCCGGGGCGCATGCTGGCGGAAAGGCCGTATCCAGTGGTTCCAGCAGCAAGAGTAGCAGCCACGGGAAGCCAGTGAAGTCCTAACTAATACATCCTGCTTAGCCAAATTATTTGGGCCAGATTACGGAATGGAAATTCATTGATGTTATTAACGGCTACCTATTTATAACGCTGCTGTTCTAAAATCTCTGTTGATTGATTGTCATTTCTATTTTTTGTAATCATTTTAAAGTTTCAGCCTGGATTATTATGTTTGTGCAGATATGGCTGATCGTTGTGATTAACCATGGAAGTGTTTTATAATAAAATTTCGGCTTCTGCTAAATAAAAGAAGCAATTGAATTAGGATATGAGCGCTACGCTCTTTTCAGATGATTAATTGTCTGCAGAATTGCGGAAAGAGATTATTTCCACTATGTTCTGCAAAGTGTGCATAATATTTCATAAACACGGATATTTTTAACTTGCGCAATTACTGGAAACAGCTTATAATATGGCAGCACAAACGTTAGTCTGTTCTTTGTTATTATTATCAAATATTATACCCACGCCATCCTTTTTTGATGTCCATCATCTTCAAGAATTTATGGTTTTTGACGAAGTAATGTAACAAGACTTGTTAATGTCACTGCTGCTTTAAGCATTTACGTTTTGTTTTCGCAGTTCTGTTTGCAAATTCCATTAAACAACTTATGCAATGATATGCGTAGTTATGTGTCTTGCAGACTGCAAAGCAACGGACATACTGCTCGCTAAAAAATGGATACCTTTTTATCCTTCGGTAGTTGCAGTGCCGGGTGGAAAGTGGGAACAGCATCAGCATCGGCTAATTTACTGTAGATGAGATGTTCGGTATATGTAGTTAGGGCGCCTATTTCTGCTGTCGGCTGAGGCTGCATAATCAGTATATATACCTTTACGTTCTTTGAAAAATTAAGACATGTGTACCGCCAGTTTGAAATCAAAATTCTAAGGGACGTGTACGTGCCGGTACAATGGTGCATCCTGCCAGATTCATGTACACGCACGGAACCTTTCGCTTTCGCGCACTCTCAAACAGTTTTTACATGGTTGTGTTATCAGATTTCAAGCACACGTATTCGTTGCAATAATTGCAACACAATTGCAGACGTAGCAGCTATGAACGAGACACAGGAAACTCAGCTGCAACGATCCTCCTAAAAATAAGGAATTAATATGCTTGATATTTGAGAAAATTAGCGGGAGAGTTTACTGGAAAGTCGTCTTCATCTATTAGACACTTAATTCTGCACAGCAGGTTTGTGCCAGTATGATGAAGATATTAGTTTTGCTCTTCGTGTCACAACATTAAAACACTGCACTGTAAGTCAAGCGCTGTCACGCAGATGCGGCGATTAACACCACGGTTTAAATACAAAATTTTTCGTAAAACCAATGGTCTACAAATACCGAATGCAAAGCTGCAACAATGGATTATATTTTTTATTCTTGAAAAATAGGTTGACATGTACTTATATAAAAAGCATTACTAGATAAAATTAGCAGACGCCAAACTAATTCTAATTTGGTCTTTGCTAACACTCTCCTGGACGGTGCGACCGAGGCAGATTGTCCAGTCATCGTCTTTAGCTAACATTAACAACCGGCATCTGTTATAGCAGTCAAGTGTTTCATCAATTTCCGCTTACGCTAAGCTTCCCATCGCTACTGACAAGTGCTCATGGTGGCGGTACCGAGTGGCGATAGAACATTTCACGCGAAATCATGTCACGAGGACTGCTGCTACGAGCAGGTTTCCAGGCAAAGTAACGCCAGGCTCCTCGAAAAGCCTTCGAATTTAGCAGACGTGGATATTCGTTGGAGAGGTTTCGGATGAACTGGCGCTGCGATTTCCGCACCATCATGGCCACACGACGGACCAATATAAGCTAGTCGTGCTATCATTATATTTCCATCAGTCCTTCAATTCCAGTAATCATCCACTGCCGAAAATAACTTTAATTTCTTTTACATCTGCTTTACCTGCTCTTCAAACTAACCATGCAACGATTCTCCCTGCTCATTGTCGCTGTCGCTTGCTCGGTCAGTAAAGGTCAACTATTACTTTTTTAACATTTATTAAATCTCAACTGGTTTTTTTGACTGGAAGGGCGCTTTCATTGAGGCCTGTCGGTTGGAAGGCGAAGGCTGTGAACGCAGCAGTTCGTGTTGCGGCGGTCTCCATTGCAACAACGATGACAAGGCCAACCGCCCGGGATTCTGCCTGCAAAAAGGCGCGGCCACGGCGAAGCATACGGCGACTCATGCCGATAGCAAGGCACCCGCAAAGGTCACTATACGCTGTACTCTCTGCAATTAGCTGATCATAACTGATGTCCTTTGGTTGCAGAGCGCAGCGAACGGCGTATGTCGGCTGGAAGGCGAAGGCTGCGACCACGCCACGTCGTGCTGCAGCGGTTTGCACTGCAACAACGCGGACAAACGCTGGGGATTCTGCCTGAAAGGGACCACGGCCGCCCTGCATAATTCGGCGTCTGCCCTGGGGCCTCACGCCACCGGAAGTGGAGTGCAGGTCGCCGCGAGTGCTACCGGCCACGGGGTGCGTGCTGGCGGGATGGCCGCATCCAGTGGTTCCGGCAACAGCCGTGATGGCTATCACAGTAATAGTTTCGCGTCGTCGTTCAATTCCTAATCCAGGGATCCGAGATTTTTTTGGGCAGATTGCTAAATGGTGACCTGATGGATATTATAATTAACGGTTATTCATAACGGTTAGTTAACGGCTATTCAAAATTGCCGGTAGATTCGTTGTGTTTGGTAAATTCTGATTTATATTCCAATTTTTAAATTTTAGCCATGATATGTATTTGCAAATGTGGTTAATGGCGCAATTGGCATTAAGGTGAACATGCATTATATTCCCGAATTTCAACCGTTTCTAAATAAAGAAATCGCTTTTTTGACATGGAAGTATGGAATAAGTCGTACTGAGCGACGGTATGCTTATTGCTTTCCGGTTATAGTTAACACATGAACGGTGGCGGTCTTTTTTATAATGCACTCTATGGCGTGCGAAAAGTGGTTATGTTCACAGTCCACTATGCACTCTGTATGTGCTGCAAGGTACGCTGAATTCGGTGTTCTCTAATATATTTAGACCTGAGTGAGTAACCAGTGTGAAAAAATTCCGGTAGGGCAGCATACATGTAAATCTGCATTTTGTTTTTAGTAAAAAGTATATATTAACATTTTGGTTTTCGCTGAAGTAATAAATATGTACAAAAGTCGTTGATGGCATCGTTGTTTTAACCGTATTATATACAAGGATCGAGCAAATCTATTGAATAATAATATTTATAAAATTTAATAATGTAAAGCTTACACAAACGTTACAATTTCTCATGCCCCGGGGGTCTAAAAGCGACGCAGCTTACATCTGTAAGAGCATGCTTAAGTGCAGCCTCCCGCACTTCCGTCACAGTTTCGTGCTACAATATATATAAGAATAATAAGATGTCTGTTTAATACAGTAATTGTAGCAATTTACTGTAGAATACGTTTCCTACCAGTATAAGTTTTAATTCAGCCTAATTTATTGCGGTGTTCAATATCAAAGCTCGGTAAATGAGTACAACGGTCTTATCGCGCTAAATTTGCGTACTTTCGTGCAAATGCCAGCTGTAGTAAGTGAATGGGAGATGGTCGTTCAAAGCGGCCACCTTTTTTTACATCTCCACAAACCGATTTCCTTCCGGTTTTTTGCTTTGTACAATTCAGCATAGTGTACTCTATACGTGGTACTTGAAATTTTTAAAAAAATCTTGGTTCAAGTGTTTCGTCACTGTTTTTTTTTAACGACGCAATTGCAAGAAAACGGTTCAAGGGTTTTTAAAAATTTCAAGTCCCACGTATAGAGTACACTATGCTGAATTGTGCAAAGCAAAAAACCGGAAGGAAATCGGTTTGTGGAAGAAGCAGTCCAAGGTGGCCACTTTGAGCGACCATCTCCCATTCACTTAGTATCGCTGGCCATTTGAACGACCGTACGTGTAGTGATCAACTGAATCCGTTCTGCACCAATGAGAAATTTAATGCGACGTGGTAATTACGAATCAGTCACCGGATGCAGAAATTTTGTGTTTCGACACGGAAGCGCGATGCCGGTTCATTATCTCGCTTTGGCTAATGCTTCCGCGGAAAGTTTACTCTATCATACAGCAGTGCGTTGACTGCGTTGACTTTAAGACTGCAGGCGCTTTTTGTACCGCGAATGAGCATAATCATGTTGGCAGCATCCGCATCGCAAAACGCGTGCAGAAGAAGCAAACAGACTTCATCAAAATAAAAACGCCGCTCAGTGCGATTTATTTTTTGTTCCAATGTTATAACTGGACCCAGTCGGATGCCTCGTAGATAGATCTGCGTCTGACAACTCCCATTGAAATGGATTGTCTAGTATTTCCGATCCTTGTTGTGTTGCTATCGGTTACCGCTCACTCATCGCCAAGTTGTGCTGCAGAAACCACTCCGACAACACAAGCTTTCCCTTCCGACACCTACAACGGTTTCGGGTGCGGCAGCATGGGCCGACTTGTCCTGCCGAGGTGCAGCCCGCAGTGGGAGCAGTGCGGCTGCAGCAAACGAGCCTTCAATGTCAGCACCATTTGGACCGACTTAACAGCGTTGCGGCTAGGGGAGATGGACCTGGGTGGCCACTGCGGCGCCAGCTGTTTGCTGAGCGACTTCGTCCCGATACCTTTTCGGCCCCGTTTGACCAACGTGGAGCTCTTCAATATCTGGGTGGCGCCGGATGATGGGCCCTTTCCCGTTGGCCAGTTTCTGGTTAATATCAAAGGGATACTGCGAGGTCTCCGGCTGGTGGACATCCATCTGCCCACGGTGACCCGGGCGACCTTTGAAGGCTTTGCGCATCTGGACAAGCTGGAACTGCAGCGCAACCGGATGTCGCTCATTACTCTCGACGCGTTTGAGTCTTTAACGCTAGGGAAGGAGGGTGCGGTCACGCCCACCTTGAGCCAATTCCATAGTGAAGGAAACTCCTTAGCCAAATTTGATTGGTCGGTGTTCAAACCGGTGGCGACAAGCCTGACGGTAAAAAAATTTTTAACGTAGTGTTATTTGCTTTTATTAATGTACCGTATCAAAAGGACAGAAGTATCGAAATACTTCTATCCTTTTAATACGGAACATTAATAGGCCATTAACGTACGGTACATTAATAGTACATTAAAGCCACAGGTTTCATGCTGCGCTCATGTTAAAAGGATAGAGCAACGCTTTCGTGCTGCGCTCATGGTAAACTGGTCAGAAGTTCAGAACCACTTCCACCACATCATGGTGAACCGCTTAGAACATGAAAGTTATGCATCCGTATCCATTCCTAGTAACTGTGATATCTGTTGGTTTTCAGGAAGTCTTCTTAAGGATAAATGAAATCACAGATATCTACGTCAGTGAGTATTTCACGATGCCCGCCGTGGAATGGGTGGATCTGTCTGGAAACAATCTGACGCGCATCGACGACATTCTGCTGGCCAGTGTGTCCACTGCGGAAGTGCGACCTTTTCTGCGATTGGGTGTCAACCGCTTCTGCGCCAGCGACGTGGAGTGCGGGTGTTCCGCCTTGGACAATCTGTGGAGCTTCTTTCAGAAGGCACCGCGCAACAAGTTGTGCTGGAGCTGCGCCTACTTCCACGCGTCGGACTGGTTGACGTGTGGCAATTACACCATTCGGTCCGAGTCCCCGGATTTCTGGTCAAGATTCCCTCCCTTGTCCGACCAGAAAGACGGACGAGACTACTTTTCTGAAGTGGACAGTCTGACGCGGACCCGCCTCAAAAATATCAAGGCCGACAACGGCCGACGTGCCGAAAAATTATTCGCTCATCAAAACAAATCCAGAAACAGTACAAAATCAACCAAGATATCTTTCCAATAGCCCTAATAGAGTATATGATGTTGCTAAGTGCACAGGTTACGAGTTGTGGTGTGTAATAATATTTATGTTTGAATTTAGTGCAAAAACCACCTGGTTACTAGAACCTGTAACTCTGAGCTGCTCCTGTATTATTTTGTGCATAAATATATGACATCTATATATACGACATATATCAGTAAACTGAGCCTGAGCTCTTGGATTATACGAGGATTGGATTGGATCGTACAGTAATATAATAAAATGAATTAGGAGACAAGTGCTACGGGCTGCATTTTTTCATATTTACCTACTACTGAGCTTTGATATCGAACACCGTACTACACAGAAGACGGAGTTGCGCACTATATTAACCCGTTTGTTTAGTAAGTCCTGTAACCCCATCGTCAGTGCTTTTTTTTCTACACAACTTTCGCAGTTGACGTCGCAGTTGACCACGTTGCAAGATTTACGCTTTTCGTAAGTTATCGCTCTACCAAATTATGGAAAAAAGCCATAGAATGTCTGAGTTAGCTCGGGCAGATCATTTATGTACGGTCACTACGGTGACTACGGTCGGCACAAGAAGCTGTCACAGACAGTCATTACTCGTAATATGACGCTAAAATAATGGGGAAACTGCCCAGAGCCGCCCGGGAACAAAGATCCTGAATTCCAGAATCAGAGCAAGCCCAAGGTTGTAGTAGAAAAACCAGAGAATTTATTAGAACTCACAGCGGCAAAGCCGCATGCATGCATGGACCGCGCCACGTCGAGCTGAACGCATGAATGAATATGAACTACTGAAACAGTCAATCACACATGGCAATCTAGTAGGGCACACCACTACTCGTTACAATAGTTACCATACTTACTTGAAGTTACTTCTGGTGTTAAATCCATAGACATTACATAGTTCAGCTGTCGCTGCTTCAGTAACCGTGCAATAGAAGGGTGGGTGAAGAAAGCAGTTGCATTCTTGAGCAATGTATTGCTCAGATTCAGACATTCGGGTACCTTCCAACGCCTATGTAGGTTTTTTGTGCATTATGCGCAGTAGAAACGACTGGTAACGTGTGTCATCACGATCCGGAGCTTCTCTATGCTCTGAATGGTCAAAACAACTATACCGCACGTATTCGAGATACCGCGCTGCAGAGCTCCGTTTTTTAGCATACTGAGTACCCGTTCTTATCTCTATGAATCATAGCTTATGCACCATGGTGCGCTGCACTGGCCGTATACCAGCCAATAGAGAAAGATGTCTGACTCTTCGTATTCTCCAGAAAACTTTACCAATGCGAGAAGTGTGCAGTTCAGGTTGTCAGCCGTTTTCAGTTTGTGATGCAGTACATTCGCCTGTTGTCCGTTCAGCGGACTATGTTAAGGGCAGTGGCCCGGTAGTAGGTACATGATACCAGATTCGTGTGCATCCAATTTCGCGGACTCACAAACACCTTTTTGCCTTGTTTTTATGACAATCTGTAACCAGATGATTTATAATTTTGCATACATAAGCGTGAAAATCGTTTGTGCGCCCAGCGTTCGAGAGATCTTCTTTAAATTTTGCATGTAAGTGCACATATCCAGGAAGGTCGATTGTACGGTAAACCGAGCTACGATTCTAGCACTTTTTTCAAATTTTCAAATAAATTTCAAAATTCATTTCAAAAAATTTGAAAAAAATGTTAGAATTGTGGTTCGGTGTAAAAGCGATCGTCATGCCTATCTGTATATGCGTTTCCGTGCAAAATTTTAGCAAGATCGGTTGATAACGAGGCTTTTGAACAACGGAATGCATTTCGAGTTTGTTGGAATTTTCTTACAGTCCATAATTCTCGAAAAAGATGTTGCGCGCACAAACCGGTTTTTACGCCTGTGTATACAAATGATCTGGCTATGGAATGTCATAAAGAAAGCAAAGAAGTGTTTGGAAGTGCGCGAATTTTTTTAAAATTTTTTCGTCCTTGTACACGTATTTGGTAGCAAGTAACGTCCACTTCCCTTAACTCAATACGCGCTATTCAGATTGTGACAAAATCTTTTCAGTTCCTCTTGGCTCCTGTTCGGCCCTTCACATGTTTCCGCCCAATAGTGGTCAAAAATGAGAAGTTCATGTAAAAACTACATTGCGTAAAGGATCATCGTGACTTTAACGTTGTGTACTGCTTTGTGATGCCGTAAAACTAGTGATACGATCGGACAGGTAGGTTGTATATTGTAATGTCGTAGGCAGCATTCTGAAGCTAGCATTAAGCATTAAAGCGGGTGTGTTACTCATGCATGCACGTGCGCATACACCTGCACGCCGGTAATAATGTTTCTAGAACAAGCATTTATAACGTTATACAGTAGTAGCATAAAAAAAAAGTATAAAAATTTTGCCAGATGGTGAAAATAGCAGTTTAGTGGATAACTGAAAGGCAACAAAGCATTGCGCGGCTATAAACCTACGGCGGTACATCTACTTTGTTCGGGTTGGTGCAGCCGACGAGGCGGCGACACTGGGAAGGAGGCGGAGCTGGCTCGAATTCATACGCGCTTATTGCCTGTCGATGCGGGCAGCTTTCTCTCGGGACAACGGTATCGCAGGCGCATCTTCTTTTTATCCAGTTCACTCAGTTCAGGATGATAGGGGGACGGACCAATCTCGCTGGACTCCACCCAACCTTTCAACATCACCGTTGGCTTGAGCGCACACGTGAAAGGATTGATGTCTGCATAGTCATACACTCCGGCATGCATCACGGAGCGAATGTCATAGGGAAACTTATAATCTTCTTCGAATATAAATCCGTCCGCGTCGTTGTTTCTGTTGTTGTGGTAACTCTGTACTGGACCTCCACCTACCGAGAAATTAGGAAGAAAGCATCATCAGTAAAGTTGGCGTCACGTTGCGTTATCGATTCTCTCGTCGAAAATGTATGCAATTTAACGCTGACGTGGAAAAAAATTTACTTGGAAGATGTTATACACAATTAATGCAAAGTAGAGCGTTCCCAAAAGGACAGTTTCTGGTTAGAATAAAAACTTGAAAGTCTGTTTTCATCCTTGTAGCTGTCAGTGTTGCTTTTTAATTAATAGACATTTATGTACTTTCTTTTACTTGCTTTTACAGTCGATACTTACCACACAGACCATTTTCCGGCACCGGCACAATGTGGTCAATGCTATCTCTTCGTAGGTGCTCATGACGGAAGTCAAATATCGCATGTAAAAGCTCGTGCAAAAAGGCCGCCACGATCACCGCATCCCCCGCACGGGTTCGATCGAAGGGTGCGGTATTTATGTGGATTGAATTGCTCACGTTGGAATAGCCGAGTGTTTCGGAGCAGGGCGCCCTGCAACATCACAACCAATCAAAGTTTGCGCACAAGAACAAGTTACTGCAACACGCAACTCACCCTGCACCTGCTGAACACGAAACGGCTCGGCACCAGTCGGTGTAGAGTGTGATGTCCAGAACATCCGCTTGACTGCCAGTGGGTACTTCCACCAGTGTTCGGCATCCAGACATCACATCGTTAATCCGCTGGACTGCCTCGTTGGCAGCTCGAATGAAACGGGCGTTCTGAGGTCCCTGTTGCCATTCGTGGATGACGTATGGAATGGAGCTTCCTACGTCTCCTGGCCAGATGTTGGGTTGTTGATGGCGAACGGTGGGTCTATTGGTGCATACCGGGCCCTGACCAGGAGGACACGGCGGGGAAAAAGTGGGGAATGTCTGGCATCGTGGCTGGTTGTTCGAGGGGCCCGCGAAGCCTGTCCCCGGCCAGCTGTTGAAAGGGAGGGAGGCGCCAGGTTGAAGTCCCCAGGTGAGATATTTACTGACGATGCTGGGCGAGAAATCGAAGGCGAAATCCATACCTCCTGTGTGATTAAGAAGTATTTCGTTGCACACGGAGAGTATCTCTTAGGAATTTTTTGAGTGGTCTTAGCAATACAAAGCTAAATCTCTAACTAGCGGTAGCAATAACCAACGTCCACACTCACCTTCCGAGCGGTTCTGTCATAAGTTGCTGGCACTGCAGCTATCGCCCGCGCAGGCAGCGCCGTGGCTGGCGACGTGCGGCTGCTGCTTGCTCGTGGGGGCATTTTGTGGACGCTTGGTTGTGGGTTTGGCGGTGCGCCCGTACGGGGGAATGACTACTTTGCAAAATCCAAACGTTTCATCCTCTTTCTCACAATGCAGATCTTCGCAACACGTAATGTTGTCCGAGCATCCCTCGCCCGGCAGTCGACAGGCATCTGCGATCTGCCAGCAGTCAAAACAGAATATGTCAAAAAGAGGGTCAACGTGAGTGCATGCGGTTAAATGTATAACTGAGCCGTTTGTACGCTGTAGGGCGCAACCATAAGTGAAATTGCTAATCTTACCGTGATGAAGATGATCCACGCTGCGCGGAATAGCAGCAGAGACGGAGAACTCAGCATAATGATAAGAATTTCTGTTGTTTTGTACAAACAGAACAGGAAACCGCGATATTCGATAATGAGCCAGCAAGCATGTCGCATTTCTTTTTATATCGGTTCCGAAATCGCCGATTCATCAAGCGGGCGAGCGAAGCGAGCCCGCGTTTCTAATTCAAGACACATTGAGGGTTCGATGCGACGGGGAGTACCCATGACCTTTGGGTCGCCGCGTGACCTTTGGGTCGCCGCTGATTTTTATGGTGATTCCTATGCAATTTGACATGCTGAGTCGAACTGAAGTACTCGGGGACCTCGAACCCGGGTCCCTGAGGTCGCCACCACGATATGTACTGTATATGCACAGTTTGACATGCTGAGTCGAACTGAAGTACTCGAGGACCTCGAACCCGGGTCCCCGAGGTCGCCACCACGATATGTACTGTATATGCACAGTTTGACATGCTGAGTCGAACTGAAGTACTCGGGGACCTCGAACCCGGGTCCCCGAGGTCGCCACACGATATGTACTGTATATGCACAGTTTGACGAGCTGAATCGAACAAACTTCCACTATATATATTTTAAGTACTGCCCGTACTGTGAAACATATATTTTAATTTTTTGCACAATTTCTCCGAGTGCAGGGTGTCAATACAGTGTTCGAAAATTCGGTTTATTTTAGCATTTTGGAAAGGTGAGACCATCTGGAAGCGTTATCCCATACATGACGAACAAAACTTTTTTTAAATTTTTTTAACATATATATTAAAAATTTTTCTTATTATTTATAAATATTTTTAAATATTT